TAAATAAAAGAGTCATAATATATAATAATTGCTGCATCTACTGAGCTTCGGGTCACCATTGCCAATTTCCGCCAAACTTTGTCATCTCTAAATTAGTGAACGAGAAAACCCCAACCCAACAAACAAACCAATCACTACTAAAAATCTGATTTTTTTATTATTGTTTTTATTATTTTTTTTAAAAAAAACATCGAGGATAGTAACACAAGTTGGCAGTGGACAACTGTACCTTTATCTTCATATAAGTATATGTTTTTCATTTTTCGACCAGTGCCAAAACAAGAAACGGAAAGGTGGATGGATACCATGATATATCATAATGTAAGCGTCTTTGTGCGAGGTTTTCTGGGTTTCGGGTCACCATTGACCATTTCAGCTAAACTGAGTCACTACTTGAACATTTATAATTAACATGGCCCGAATAATAGACGAGAAAAAAATACAAGCAAACAAACCAATAACAACGACAACCATCAAAATTTTAAAAAAAATAGAAGAAAAAAAAACAAAGCACAGAGGACAATGACACAAGATGGCAGTGGACGAGTACCACTTTCATTCCTTATATAAGATTTTTTAAAACTTTACGACCAGTGCCAAAACAAGAAACGGAAAGGTGGATACGTATAATACTAAAATGTCTAGATATTTGTGGTGCCAGTATCAAATCAACTGATATTAATAGTCATTGTTGTTGTATAATATACAGTCATTAGTAACATATTTACCATATAAATCTCTGACACGGTTGCTAGGTACTGTTATAGTACTAAAGGACAGTGTAAATGATCATGATATTGGGCCGCAAACTGTACACAGAACGGAAAGGTGTTACTCACGCTGGTATGTAGAATAGGTATATCGTTTTAAAGGGGGTTCTACCAAATACTTCAATCAAGATAATCCACTCTAAATGAAACGAAATGGAGTTTAATGTCTGTTAGGTTAAAATATTAAGGCCATCTGCAGATTTCGTTAAGGTCACGAGATGTAAACAGGGCTAGCGCTAACCCTAGACCTGGCCCTTATCCTTACCCACAATCCCCGGCAACAATCATGTGCGCTAACCCTGTTTACATCTCGTGACCATGACGAAATCTACAGGTGGCCTTAATATTTAGACCTGACCATTAAAAAATAGCGTCCTAATTTTCGGCACCAATACGGACATACGCCACGCGGTGTGTTATGGGTGAAATTTCGCCCGTAGATTGGGGTTTCCGCCTACTCTGCATCGATTTCTAACCGTCATGGTTTTAAGACATCAAACCCAGAACATCCTGGTTATTGACTTGCTCCACAACAAAACAAACGTTGGAAGATGAATCTATATCTGTAAACGAAGCTGGTGTTTCACAGGTTTCACAGATGATGTTCTCCCTTTGGCTGTGTAAATCGAATCACATTGTATGATGGCAATAATATGTTAGCCGAGTTTAAACGATACACAATCGATACAAGATGTTTACAATAACGCCTCTTCAATAACGCCTCTTCAAAGTATTCAATAATATGACCACTGACAGGGTCTGTGCTACCATTAGGTCATCTAGGCTTTTGCCTGGGGCACAAATCTAAGGGGGCTACAATACTGAGCATCGAGGGTCACAGTTTCATACAATAGATTAATCAATGATTGATGTGTTACTTATAGTACATTAAAATAATTTACCAATTTCATGTTTAGTATGCCTTGCAAATTTTCCCATAGAAACATATTATTTTTGAATATCGAAGATGGCATTATTGGTTTTCTGGTGCAAGTAGTTGACCTTGCCTAGGGCGCAAAACTGTCTGGCAGAGATCGCAGTCGGCCCCTTCAATACTCTGATCACAGATCTTAATTGCGCACTTGCAGTAGTTGGCTCACAGATCTAAAACGAGCACCTTCGGTAGTTGGATCACATATCTGAAACGAGCACCTGTAGTACTTCGATCACAGATCTAAATCGAGCACCTTCAGTAGTTGGATCACATATCCCAAACGAGCACCGGAAGTGACTTCATCACAGATCCCAAACTAGCACCTGAAGTAGTTTTTGATTAAAGAACTCAAACGAGCACCTGAAGTAGTTGGATCACAGTTCCCAACCCAGCACCTTCAGCGTTCCTTTCAATACTATAACCAGTGGTCTGTGGCGGGGCCTTTCAATAATCAAAGAACTCCATTGAATGGAAATAGCATGGGTCTCAAATAGATATATTAGTCAGACATATAACTACTCTAATGCATGCCTAAGGAACGAATATCATATTATTGGATGTTTGTAATTTCATATGATAGAATATGAGCCGAAAATAATTGGGATTTCGAAAATGCTAACAGTAATTAAAATGGTTGAACCCCTTTAGATGAATCTACATTTACCTAACATATAAATACTTATATGTAACTATATATATTCTAGAATTTGAACTATAGGAGAGCTGATACTATATCCTAAACTAAGGTCGACAAGTGCTTGCTATTTGAACACATCCTCAAACTTTTAGGCTAATTCGAAACACATTTCAAGACACATTGGCAGACGTGATTCTTTGTGGCGACTGCCGTTTAGAGAAATACCCACATGACATAGTGGCTCGGTGTCGCCTGATATATCCTCGAGTTTCGTGGTTCTAATTTATTGTATATGGTAAAGCTGTCTGGACGTGGTCATTGGCAGAAACAATGTTTACATTTTTCTTAAGATCCTGGGCCCTGTTTCTCAAAATCTTAACTAAAGATAAAATCCAAATTTTAGTAGATACTTCAGTTTCGATTGGCTAAGCACTAAAATCAATCTAATATTATCGAATCAAATCACTAAAATTTGGATTTTATCTTAGTTACAATTTCGTGAAACAGGCCCCAGTTTTGCGGGTGTGGGTTTCTTTGAAAGGACCTTCGAGACATCATTTAAAATAGAAATCCCCCCCCCCCCTACATTCTTCCAAAATATACCCCCAAAACGCATTTAACGCGTTTAACAACGCATGACGAAGCTTATCTTCCATTTTCTTTTTTGGGGCTTAGATTACAAAGGTAGTCTGGAAGCGTCATGGTATTTGTAAGTGTCAAATATATATTACAAATAATTAACCTGGAATTATTTCAACATTTCCAATTATTTAAATCAAATCTAAACTTACTTTAGTAATAGTAAATGTTAAATCTGCTTATTTGACAATTAACACCTTCCCGCCATTCTGGTTAACAAATATGAGCAACAGCACAGGAGAAACTTAAGGAATCAAAGTTGTTGCTGTTGCGTTCTAACCCTTCATGTTTAGGGCTACGGATTCTCGGTTAAAATGTTCTGGTTTCAAATACAGACGTGGGCAGAGAAGACCCTTTGGGATTTTTCAAGTCCGGCCTTCTCTTGTGAGGGCTGCCACCTGTGACAAGGAAAGTGTAGCTAGTCGCTCGGATAGAACGAAAAGCCGATATCGAAGAGTATGTGAAAACGCCAATGTCCAGGAAAATCCTCCTACCTCGTATTGCACACGTAACCATTGAAATGAAATAACCATATGTTAGTCTCATCTCTAAATAACCGAAGCAGTATGTTGACAAGTCGTTAAACCCCATTTTACATTCCATTTTATTTTGAAATGGTGTCTTCCGAATTAACGAAATGGAGGCTATGAGCAATTTCATTTTCAAATCCTTGCATGTAATTTTATACTCAAGTTACGGTCCGAAAAGCGTTTTCACGTCTGTTTTCTTGAGTGGCACAAACTTCTGAAAGCAATTTTTACGAATGTTTCAAAATGTTTGGGGGGAGGGGGGAGGGTGCACAGCTTCAATAGTTAGTTAATATAGTAAAATGACTAAAGAACATGGGGTAGGTGTGGCGGGTATAGTTTATCGTTCAGTATATAATCTGTAAATAGCGGGAATAGATGGAGGTTATTTGTCACGCAGTGAATAGAAGAAAGGTGCAAGCAGGTGGTTTTAGTTTTATACAGCAATATAGACATATAGTATGTTCAAGTTTATTTTATAATGCTAATATTTGTATTTCTCCAAGTTGATCCTTCACATATTACATGTTCTATATATACATAACATGGAGTATATGTGTGGAATCCATTTCAAAGGCAGGTGTCTGTTATGTCATTGGTCAAATTCAGGATAGATGTTGAAATACTAGTTTAAAATAATAAAGCCGGCTTTTGTTGTTTTGAGTAGGCGCATGTCTGTATGTAATAGAAAGCTTATATACCATACATTTAGATATCAATTATTCACAAATTTGATCATAAATCATTCTCAAGCAGGTGTATATAATAGTTATCTATCATTGGCTCGATTATTTGGTCGTTAATAATGTCTTGTACATATGCATCTGATAGCAACTTCAGTGAAATAATTGGATGGGATGAACATAAAAGTTATTTTTCACCCCAGAAACTCAATTTCACTGGCTGTCGCTTTCGTAAGGATGGTTTCGGGCTATCTAAATTAATTTTATTTGATGGCTAGCAGACAAATGACGTGCCATTAACCCAGCTTGGACCTCGAATCTTGGTCTTTTGAGTAGGCGCATCATAACGAAAAATGAGCCACACCATACAGTGTACTATGAAGGAAATTCTGCCCAGACCTCGATCAGAACGACTATACCTTGTCCCTTGCCAGGTCCTCTGTCCTGTATGTGTATCATAACAATGGACATTCATATATGAGAGAGAGAGAGAGAGAGTGAAATGGGGTTTAACGTCCACTCGACACAAACTAGGTCATTTCGGGACTAACATATGGTTTAATTTTATTTACATAAATCGCTTGCGTGTAGGGGTCTTTAGCAGTGGGAGGAAAACGGAGGACCCGGAGAAAACCCATGAGGTTGGACAGGCGACCCTACTCCTTGTCACGTACAACCGAGGATTCGAAACCACGCCAGTCGACTCAATGACAGACTTTATGATACAGCACGAGCAGGCTAACCATTCAGCCATCCAACCCCCCTACATTCATATATGACAAAATGACAAAGACAAATTTTATATGATTTAACAAGATTTATTGTATGTTTATTTATTTACTATTTAATATAATTCATGGTTTGTTTTAATCGTTTTGTACTTACTGAAGTATAATAGAACACAATTAACAATTGTAATCAATAGGTACTGATTAAGTGAACAAAAAAACAAGTTTTTCTTCTAAACAAATAATAATAATAATATAATATTGCATTTGAACACAAATGTATAACTGAGAAAATCAATGGCAGTTTTTTAAAGACATAAATGCTTATAAACTTAAATGCAAACTTACAATAAAGTCTTGGGTCGTTAGTTCTTAGCTACATGTACATGACAATAAAGAAGTTTTCTCAACTTTATTGAGTTATGTAATTAAGACTGGGTAACAAACTACTTCTTGTAGTCTTTCACATACCAGGACAAAATATGATGAGAGATATACATTGAACATGTCAAGTTTGATTAAAATAATTTCGAAGACTAATTTCACATTTAAATAATTTGAACTTCAATGACCATATATGTGAACATATGATATGACCATATATATGGACGCACAGATTAATGATATGTAAATGAGTTCATGATTTCATTTATGAATTAAAATAGCACAAAAATTCACAATAAATTTAAATATTATTATCATTATCAATATTGTGTACAAATAATGACAACTGTACAAGATTGAAAAAAACAAAACTATAAAGCGCTTGTTTATAAAGAAAAAAACTGGGCAGTATTTAGCACTATGATATTTGGTAAATTTAATTTAACATCTATAAGATGTATAAATTTTCATTTACATTTGATCAGAACACATTTTAAGCCGTATCTAAAAAAAAAAAAAAAAGAAAGAAAAAAAAGACATAGATTGCTTAGCTCTTAGCCTACAACATGTACAAAAATTTAAAAAATCAATTAAATGCCCATGGCATTGCCCTATATTAATGAATGCTCATCATAAAACACTTCTCAATTGGCTCTATCATTTTTTCTCTGGTCACAATTCGAAAAATATTTTATATCAATGAATACAAAAGCTAAGCATATTTTTTAAAATGTTGAAATGGATATCGATCTAGATGTATCCTAGAGATTGTTTTAAATAATACTAGTTATTTGCTTGAAGCTGTACCATTAAGTAGTAAATAATTCCATTTAATAGCCTTAAAAACCATATAATAAATCAAAGTACAGTGATATTTGGAAGTTCTTGGCAGAGTTGTCTTCCCTGACATTGTAACGACTAAGTGAAAGTTATCTAACAATAAATTTATCTTTGAGCGGTTCTTTCTTTACATTAATATATTTACACAAATGATTTCAACTCATCCTTTAGGTTAATATTCTGTACAAGAAAATATACATAACTATGAGGAATCTTTTAAAAGGATTTTTAGAAGCATCACACTTGAACCCAAAGGCATTATATTTTCCTAGACTGAACTACAACCTGACACAGGTCGTTTTTTCAGTAATCCTCTCTATGGTCCAAACATTCTTTTACAAAAAATATTCCTTGTCAGTATGACATCTCAATTCATGAATAACTTGCTTCTAAGAATCCCTTTTATTAACATCTTTGTGACTGCTGTGCGACAGCAACTTTTGAGTTGTTTGGGTTATGTAAACAGGAGCTTTTATGGTGTAACAAATTATTTTAATTGTTTTTATTTTGGAACCAAATCCTCCCATCATACAGAATCCTTAATTCCTTAATTAGTAGCACAATTTCTTTAAACTTGTTTTCAAACATGGGTATGTCAAGAATTTAAATATGTTCTAATCAAACTGAAGTGGGACTTCTCTGTTACACAACTTTCACAAAAATGTCAATTAATTCAAAATGGAGGGGTGTCACTTTCACTGCATACAAATATTAATAATAAGGTATTAATATTTTATACATTTGTCTGATTTTAACGAATTTTCCCTTTTCCGTTAAACAATAATAAAGAACAACCAATATAAACATCTCATTTAGACAGGGCGAAAAATTAAAATATAACAATAAGTTTTATAATAATGTCAATGATACCATCACTTAAAGCTTGTTGGTACAATTTGTACTGTAAGTCTATCTAATAAACCCTTCACTAGTTACCAAAGAGCAACTAAAACTAAAATACCATGTTTTTATTACTAAACTCTATATCTCCTCATTTTAATAAGCCATTCCTTATATATTGTGATGTGAATTAGGATTTTAATTTATGCATAAGATAATTTGTTTTAATGATCAAATCTGTGTAATTGATATTCATCATGTTATTTCCAAAATACAATTCCATTTGGTTTTTGCTATGCTCCATATACCTTTCAAATATATATTGACATTTAAAAATACCTTTTAAATAAACCAGTTTTTATATGATGTGATATAAAGAAGTGTCTGAATAGAGGATTTCCCATCTATCTTTGGCGTAACTACGACTATCTATATTTTGTTTATTTTTTTTTGACCAACATGTGGAAGACATATTTAAACTTTAAACAAGCACCTAGGGGAATAGAACTTAATACTTTACTTCCAATCTCAATGTTATTCAATCTACTGGATTCATTGCATTCATATTTTATTAAATGATTGATTGCAGGGACACTGCTAAGCTTGATCCAATAAGAATAATTTGTACAATTTTGGTGATAATCTACGGTAGATCAAATAATGTTGAGACTGAAATATTTTAAGGCCTGAGACTCACATAAATTTCATCATACAACACCTTTCTAATTCGCTGCCCATTTCACTATATTCTACTCTCACACTTATAATAATTGTTGTCAGTTCGTCAAAAATGTTCATGTTAAGCACATATATTGTCCACACATTCCTTCACTAAGTGTTATAATATTCATGAATTTTGTTCAGATCGTTGATTATTGTTATTGTCCTCTTTGATAACATTATCACTCCTTTCAAAGATGGTTTGATAAAGTCAGATCAGCGTTTTGCACTAATTACCTTACACATCTTTCACTTTTTTCTTTCCAAAAACTGAACAGTCCACACTTGAAAATTGTGAAACACATTAAGAGTCATCAGTTAAAACCATATAATTTGATGAGAGTAAATGAACAATTTAAAAACATATTAAATTAGAATTGTTTTAAAAAGAATCCCAAAAGTCTTAAACACAGTTCACTATAAAATATGGTCAATCGATATGAAAAACAGTTCTTCGGGTCCAGCCGTTACTGACTAAAACAATTGTTATGTGCAAAGAAACTGGCTTTTTTCTTGTATAAAATGCTCTGCAAATAAAAAATTCCTTGATTAAAGTGGCCCAAGCCTGTATAAAAATGATTGTGATCATAAATGTATTTTTTTTTTATGTAAGTAGTACTGTTTCCACAGATGCAAGGTCCTTTAACGTGTTTACAATGAAGTCTACATTGTCACATTGATCCAGTCACAGCACACCTTAAAATATCTCTCTATAGATGAAGATGACTTGATGATAAAATAATACACATTAAAAACTGTTAAATACAACAACTGGACAATCAAATATATTAACATGCTGTTTGAAGACTGATTGATCAAGTCAATGATACACTATCCTTCCCGTAATTCGAACAAATAATAATAATAAAAAACTACACTGTCTCTGCGATTAATTGAAATGTTCCAATTTTGTCACAATCTGGCAGTGATAGCCTTCATAAATGTATCTAGGTCAAAGTTGAAGGTTGCCACTGTTATAATTCTATGCTGGCAGTGTAACAGTCTATTATAATTCACAGAAAACACCAGTGCCTAGACCACAATATATAACAAAGACGAACACCAATTCAGTTGACGTAATATACAACCTCAAAAATACTATTGTTGTTGGGTGTTGCTTGGTAATAGATAAGTCCGATTTTTCTGATCCCAACACATTAATATAAATACAACAACTATGACCTTCAATGTTCCAAAAGGTCGTCAGTCAAGTAACAATACAGTTTATCCTTCCTTGAAATCAGAATGAAATTTCTTGCCACATTTCTGAACTTGTTTCATTTTCCCGTTAAAAATCGTTGATAGGATTGTACATGTCAAGACTTTCCGAAGAACTAGACTCCGAACCACTATGGGACATGGAAGAATATTGGCTATCAGACACACTCATTGGCACTGAAATCTGTTCTAAATCTAAATATGGCTGAAAAAAAACAAAAACAGTTGATCAAAGAGTACATACAGAGTACACACTGAAGTTAAAATCTCAAAAAGTTTTTTGGGTGTTTCACATCTTCTACAAAATACTTTGAACAAACTTAAAGATACAATAGGAATGGTGTTTAACATCTTCAGTCACTTTAAGACTGACACATGATTATTTTTTCTATGGTCACATGTGCAATGCTAGGGAGTTGAATTTTGCCTGGACAATGACATTTTTGCCTACTCTTCATTGAATTTTAACTGTCAAGGGTTTCTTTTACGTGTACCGTTGTCTATCGACCCATACTAGGCAACACTTTCATTTGTCTGCCCAGTAGATATTACTCCTGACAAGTGGGAAAGGGGCTTGAAAAGTTCCAAGCTTTTCCTCGGACTACCCCACGATTTAAACCCGGCGGGACAGAAGAGTCCAACACCCAGACCACCTACAAACTTCAGTCAGCAAAGCTTTTCAGAAGAGGGGAGTGAGTTGGGCGAGTGGGGGACAACACACCAGGAGAAAACTGATGTGGTCCAGTTGATGACCCCATCCTTGTCACAAAGAATAATAATAACAAACGACATGCAATGATAACACACCTGTTATCCACTGACCATTCTGTCACAACCCCCTCACAAAAATTAGCAGGATAATGTTTACATACCTGATCATTAAGAGACAGAGATAGGATGTTATCCAAGTTTTCTACCAACTGATTGAAGCTGGGGCGATAATTGGGACTATCATTCCAACATTTTAACATAATAGAATATCTGTGAAATGAAAAAAAAAAACTTAATAAATCAGAAAATGAGTTTCTAAACTGAATTAATTGAATAATAATAATAAATGTTTGTTATGCTGGTATAATATCATATTATAAATCCATCACTATTAGCAACTCTCTGTCTCTCTTTTTGTCTGCTGTGTTACTATTATTTCTGTATTAGTTCTTCATAGCTCCCTGTTCTTGTGTACCTCCACCTCGGAAGGCATAATGTGTTAAGCAATGCCGCCATTTTTACCTCACAATATGCACCTTAATGAGCAGAAATAATGTGTTTTCGGAATAATCTCTTAGACCTCACGCCAAACTTGACATTCCCTACGCCTGCCACCCCACCTTCTCAAAATCCTGAACATGCCCCCGTCTCCTATTTCAAATGAAATGAAGCAAAATTTCGAAGTTGCTGCGAGTGAAATTTTGCCGAACTAATGTTATTTCCGTCTACTCTTCATCGACTACAAACTGCAGGGAACCTCTGTTTTTCATTCCATCCGAAAGACAGACTCGAGATGAGTGGGACCAATCAAAGTCAGGACCCCCCTTTTTCAAAATTCATATGAGAAAACACTCATTCTACTTACATTTCTCCTGTAGCATATGGAGGTTTCTTCATCCTGTGTCCCTTTCTTAATAACTCAAACAAACCCTCTACGGGTACTGATGGGTAGGGATTACCTCCAAGGGTAAAGATCTCCCATAATAATACTCCAAATGACCATCTAAAATAATATAACACCCACGTCAATAAATACTTGTATATTGTAAAAATTACGAAATAATAAAGCAATCTATGAGATTTTATACAGAACTACGTCATTAAGTGACAAAGTTGATTTCAACACTGAGAATTTTATACCTTTAGTGATTGGTGAGCAACTCTGAGTAGTCATCATAAACTACTTGGATAGTCATTTGCATTTTTGGGACAACATCTAATATTTCGTGGCCTAATTGATTTCAAAAAACAAAATCAAACTATCAACAGTAAATAATCCCTCGGAGTGGATTTAATCGTATTATAAAAACTCCCATCAAAAGATTTTATCCAACACTAATAGCAGACTTGTTTATATTGACTGCAGAGGAAGTGAAATTCCCAATTCACCATATTTTTGTAAATACTGAATGCAATCGAACATTTTTTGAACTTGTTTTTTTTTTTAGAGATTTAATTTTCATCAAAACTGTAGTCAGCAGTTTTCAAAAGATGGAAAAGAGTATGACTTACACATCAGATTTCGAGGTATATCGTTTATCAAACAAAGCTTCTGGTGCCATCCACTTTACAGGTAATCGCCCCTAAAATATACATAAAATATTAGCATAATATTTAAACTCTTGCAAAGCATACATGAAAATACTGTCAACTATTGGAATGCAAACAATTGCATGAAATTTTAAGTACTCTATTAAAAACAACGGCCACCAAAGATTTGCTCCATATAATGCGAAAAATTTTGTGCCAGAAATGTAATGATATTATCTACAACATCCTACTGTTCTGCTCCTATCAGGCTAATGAACACGTGTCAGTGTAATGCAGTGTAATGCAGTGTGAAATTAGGGACATTTTGCCTGGACAGCAGCATTTCCTACTACTCTTCATCGAATTCCAACTTCTTTTCCATGCACTCGGACGTACAAGGGGACCTTGATTTTCAGTCCCATCCAAAGGATTAGACACTCTTCCTTGCTAAGTTCTCCGCGCTGCACCAATGACAAAGGGAAAACCAGGGTCTACTCTATGAGCCACATGCCTCCCATTTTGAATGGGATTCTTGCTTAAAATTTACACTTACATCAGTGGTTTTTCTGTAGTAATCCATATGTTTAACATTCCGTGTTAAACCAAAATCAGCAATCTTTAATACAAGATCTTCTGATACTAGAATATTTCTAGCTGCTAAATCACGATGGATACACTAAAATATAAAATATAATAATTAAAAACATAACAAGTGTCTGAGGAGTTTATGTGAATTGCATTTCTGCCTTTTGTTTTATTTTCACATGTATTTTGATCTTTTTTTTATTCTCACATGTATTTTGATCGTTTTTAGTTTCACATGTATTTTTATATTTTTTTATTTTCACATGCATTTCATTTCTTTTATTTTCATCTTTTTTATATTTTCACAAATATTTTGACTGTCAGTAGCTAACTGTTATGTGTTAATTCATAGTATCATTAATCTGGACTGAATCAATGCACAATTCTTGCACTTTGGTATCAGCAAATCTGGAAATAAGGTACCAGTCACAGGACATTGTCAGACACAAATTCATACTTTGTCTATTTTCTGTGTTTTTATTCATACTGTTAACCCCTAAACGGTCTTTGTTGACTATAGTCAACATAACGTTATACAGCTAAGTGGTCACGGTCAACCGCAGTCCATAATAGTAAGAACCCTTTTATATCAATGACACCGATTATGAAAATGAAATTTCTGATGAAAATGATTTAGAAAAAGAGAGATAACGTGCAAATTATAAATCAACGTATCCTTTTCAACTTTTTTATTGGTGTCAAGAGTCTATCACTTATAATTATCCGGCTGTAGTCTTTTGAAATAGGCATACAAAATATTTCACTTTAGCCTTTATTTAGCCTGACCACTTGACGTCATGACGTCAAAATGACGTAGACTGGTTAATAAATGTCTTGCACAAAGTTCCTAATGTCAGGTACCGTTATTTCCATGCCTGGTAATCAGGTCCGTGTTTTCCTGGTACTTACATGTTTAGAATCTAGATAGTCCATACCACGAGCTATCTGATAGGAGAATGATATTAAATCTTTCGGTGTTAAAGGTTTGATAGAAACAGCATTAAAGTCAATGACTGGTTTTTCATAGCCTGGTGTTGGAGGAAGAGTGGAGTTGGCTGGTCGTCGAAGTTTCAAGAAGTCACGAAGATTACCATGCGGAGCAAATTCAACAATAACAAATAGTGGTCCTAGAAAATATAATATATAAGTATGGTAGTGAAAGCAACAATATGATAGGATATACTGAAAAACACCAGATACCACTTCTCAATTGAGGAAATTCAAAGAGCCAACAATGGATATATGGTATACAATAATCCTACTAAATTTGCAGGCTATACAATGGGTTCTGTGATCAAAATGTCTAACATCTGAATGTAAATAAGGGAAGGATGCAGCTAGAGGACTGCCCTCTCATGTTGTGGACACTACAACATTGCTTTCTTGGTTTATCTCCCAATATTTCATCCTATAGTACTGACAGTTTCTGTCTGGTTTGCAACCAAAGATCCAGCCACTTGAATTGTGGGCACTAAAAAGTCACAGCCAGAAATCCTGATGCTTACGTTCAAAGGGTTAGATATTTTTTTGCCCAATATTGTTGCATCTAAATGCTAAACGCATTGAACATTTAACAAATATCTGTGTTCACAGCCGTGTTATTTTGAATACACAAAACAAATGCTTACCTCTTTGTGTACAACAGCCAAGAAGATTAATAATGTTTTTATGGCTACCCATCACTTTCATCACTTCCATCTCTTGCATTAGATCTGTCATCTCACGATCAGTAGCATCATCTTAAACATAACATTTTAACCAGTTTTTATACTCGGATGAAATCAATATAAAATTCAAACACCTGGGCTTTTTGCTTTTTTAAAACAATGTTTATGTACAGAAATTGGAGAACAGACAGAAGCCTATAGCTCCCCTCTCCACCAGGGCTTGATGCACATTTGGGGGTCTGGCACCATAGATATTCAACAATCTCACATTATTCTTTAAACCCCATTCTTTATAAAAAAAACCCCCACCTAAAAACATTTATATCTCACCTTTCAACATTTTAACAGCAACAGTTGTTTGACCTGGATTGTTAGCTATACCCATTGCTTTAGCCTTTATAACCAAACCAAAGGCACCCTCACCCAGACGATCACCCAAAACCAGTCTTAAAAAGTAAAATATATTATCATGAATTATAAAGTCACATCTTCTTTAATAATGATGAAAATGTTTCTGAATAAATAATTTAAAATCTGGTATTTTTTCGGACAATAACTAAGTTTTTGTGGCTTAATTCATGTAAGAAAAATACTAAAATTATGTAACATTTAATTAAGAAACAAAATCAAAATACCAACAGCCGATTATCTCCTGATTCGATTCAATCAAATTAAAACGAAGCCCATCTTGTAAACACTGATCTAAAACTGAATTGTTTTTGGAATGATATTTCTTTTAGAGATGCATCTTTCACAAAATAGTAGTTTGCAAGTACATGTTTTAAAATACCTCAAATAACGATCCTCAGCGTTAACAGAAATATTTAAAATTATAAATCAGAAAAATGATTATACCTTTCTCTTGGGAATTCCCAGTCTGAATCAAGAGGGATGTCGTATTCTGAAACCTCAGTTACATCTGACGATAATCTTTGACGAGACTGTTTCTCAATTCGAACCAATGGTTGCATGACACTTGGATCTCCTTTCGAGTAATACAAATCGTTCTGAAGTGCAAGGAAAATAATTAAATATTTATTGACAAATTTTGTAGCAATTGGATTGGGTTTATTTCATGGGTTTAGTCACTAATTTAAAAGTTCACAGTAGAAACGTCATTATTTTATACATACTTCATGAACTGCATATCGACAAACTATCAGAGCTAGGTGGAAATGCAATGACATGAAATTGGGTTAAATGTCCTAATTTTCTGCACCAACCGCGTTAAAGAGAGAGAGAAATAGGGTTTAACATCCGCTCGACACAAACTAGGCCATTTCGGGACTAAAATATGGACCCATAGGACCTGAGGAAAACCCATGAGGTCAGACAGGCAATCCTACCCCCTGTCATGTACAAGCAGGAAATCGAAACCCCGCTCAATGACAAAACTTCTGATCTAACACACACGCATTAACCTTTCATCCCCGTCTACTGCACTTCGTGTTATTTTGCTCAAATGGAATGTAGAAAGATTGTATTGTACAAGAACGAAATGAGATCGGGTTTAGTGTCCTACTTTTCTGCAGCAACTAGGGTAATAAAGACGGTTGTAGTATAATGTTTCATGTAATAACAACTTAATTACTGGTCGCATAACAATAACTAGGGTAATAAAGACGGTTGTAGTATAATAATGTTTCATGTAATAACAACTTACTGGTCGCATAACAATAACACGTTTTATTGGCTTCTGCTGTATCATACGCTTCTTTCGATGATTCCACATAATTAAAGACACAATCAATGCCACACTGATAATAGCAGCAACGGCGACGCCTATAATTACTATCATAACTGTCCGATCGGATGAAGCTTTTTTAACAGGTAACTGTGGTTCTGGTATTGGTATTAATTCTTCTGAAATAAATGAAATTATTAGAAATCTGTTGGCATATTTGTGCAGGTATTCAAGTTCACAGGTAAACTATCAATTTCTCAAGATGTTCCCACCCAAAATACAGGTGCACAACACCTAACTCAACTTTCTGCAACATTAATCCTTTAGCATTTGGTGCATATAAATACTGACTACCCCCCGTTTCAATTTAAAAAAAAAAAACTAGAGATAAATGATGTATATTAATATTGAGTTTTGTAGTTCATTTTCGGAATATGCCCGAAGCTACAGCTCTCTAGACCACCTCAAAACACAGAGTCACAGAACAAGTATACAGTCCTTAACCCTTTCAGACTGCCATAACTAAGGCTCCTTAGATCACCCCAAACTGCCCCATCACGTGCATTGCTGTGATGTCCCCAAGAACTAATAAATGGCAATATAATAAGGAAAGCTATACTCGGGCCTTTGAGGTGTCTAAGGAACAGCAGTTTCAGACTGTTTCGGTCTGTCCAGGGAATGTGCCTGTATTAATATACCACTTTTCTCTAATTTTCTTCAAGGAAGAAGAAAGGGTTAAATAATTCACGGCTATATATTGACAGTTTGAAATGGGCTTCATCTGTCCTTCCCAGTTTTGATTCCGGGGCACATCTCATAAATCATTCCAGATATCTTTATGAAACACATTTTTCAGATTTAATAACTTTTGTGTTTACATGGTTACAAAGGCTTCTTTTATACTTCAGACCCCATAGTTTGTGAAATCTATCCCCAGGGCTTTATCCAATCCTTTTTCTACTTACTGTCTTTAACTGTTAGCCAAGCACTAGCGTATATCATTCCCACTGTATTCGTAGCAACACAAGTATACCAACCAGCATCTTCCTTAGTTACATTGTGTATGACAAGTCTCTCTGGATTTGTTGTATTCAAATTAGATCGCTAGAAAAAAAACCAAATTAATATTGAAACAAAAAGCTAAAATACATTTTCTCACAAAAAAACTCAACAAATAACATGTATGAAAATAATTATGGAGGCGTATTCTTTTATATAAAACCAGCTGCCTATTACCAAAGCTTTAAAGCTGCCCCCACCAGCCATATTTCAACTATTTTCTCACTAAAAAAAGCTAGGACAATATTTTACATATGTGCTTACATGTGTATTCTGCCAAATTTTGGAGAAAAAAGATAGTAACATTTGGACAAAAATTGTGAAAAAATAAATTAAAGCAAAATAATATAATGTGTTCAAAAGAAAAAGTGAGAGAGAAAGAGAGAAAGAAAAACAACATGCAACAGTGATGTTTGTTTTTAGAAACAATTGAAAAGAATGAAAGAAAAATAAAATGCCTTCTTAGGGTCATTCTAAGGCATATTTCACATAAAACACCAATTTACAATGACATATATTAAAGTCCAGACATTGCAGATTCAGTTTTCATTTATTCATTATCTAATATTGAAATAGTCACAACCATGCTCAAACTGAAGTACAAATCGTTTCATCTTGTCATCCATTTAACATAAAAAGATGGAGAGGAATGGGGTTTAATGTTCACTCGACACAAACTAGGTCATTTCGGGACTAACATATGGTTCAATTTTATTTCCATTATTTGCTTGCGCGTAGGGGTCTTTAGCAGTGGGAGTAACATAAACAAAGATATCAACACGCATTATAATAGTCTAACGCTTTGTTTTAATGACTTAGTGTATTCACCTACAACCATAAGTTTGTAAAGTACAGTGAACAAGGTGCTGATTCGGTAACCTGGAGGTCCCAGGTTCGATCCCTGGTTTTTCCATGGTGATTTATTGGTTGAAAATAAAAAGATTTATAATTTAGGTGATGTATTGTGAAGACTATATATTACTAGATAATGAGTAAAGTACAAAGAATGTGCCATGCTAGGACTTCTCCTTAAAGATATCTTCATTGGAAATTTTTAAACATTAAGCACAAGTGGTCCTGAAAAGAGCAAAGATTGATGTAGAAAATTTTCAATTTAATCAAAAACTTAGACCAGTAGACAGAATTTTTACCAGTATTTTCGATCAGTATTTCAAACAGTCATGACATAATTTTAACCAGTATTTGAAACAATTTAACATTAGTATTTCAATCAATCATGACTGAATTTTGACCAGTATTTTAAACTATCATGACAGAAATTAGACCCGTATTTCAAACCATCATGACAGAAATTAGACCCGCATTTCAAACCATCATGACAAAATTTCCAATGAGGGATATCTAATATTTTGTTGACAACATGTAACAGTTCCTTATATGACAAACAAAGGAACGTAAAAGGACAACACTGTGTTTAAAACTACAAATCAGTTCGGTGCGTATCAACTTTGTACCTTATATGATCATACCAAGGTACAGCAAATAAAAATTACAAATAATGTTCAATTAAAACATCCTATTATAAAACAGTCACATTCTATTTTAATTAGACTTTTGTCTATTTGAAACCATCTTTAGTGCTGATGGTCATGGGAACGAAACGAAAGCTACTGGAGCTAGAATAAATGACATGAAATTACATAGGATGTTTTAAATGCAGTGCAGTGCCATGAAGCTATCAAATTATTTTTGTGACAATAGAATTAATGTGCAATTCTAAAGACTAGAATTTGTGCAATTGAGGATCACATTAAGATCATTAGAAGAAATGTTTAACATTAATGTGCATTTTTGTGTGCAGATTTTTAATATGCAGTTGGTGCTCCTGAAATATCTGGAAGAAAAAGATATCCATGTGGTTGTATTTGCATCTTGAATGATAGAATGACACCATTCTCAATAATCAGAGATCCTGAGCCATTGCTCAATCAATTCAAATGTGAATACAGCAAAAATCCCAGCTAAATAACTTTAGATTCTTGATCATGAAAATTAGCTAAATATTTTTTGATTCTTAACCAAGAACATAGCTGGGTTCATTGTGATTCTTAACCATGGGACTTATCTGGGTTCCTTGGGTTTCTTAAACATGGAACATAGCTGGGGTCCTTGTGATTCTTAACCATGGAATATAGCTATCATGAAATTCTCTGTGATTCTAAATCATGGAAAATGGTGAAATCATCAGTGATTCTTAACTGTGGATCATAATTAAATCATTTGTAATGCTAAACTATGAGAGAGAGAGAGAGAGAGAGAGAGAGAGAGAGAGAGAGAGAGAGAAATGGGGTTTAACGTCCACTCGACACAACTAGGTCATTTTGGGACTAACATATGGTTTAATTTTATTTCAATAATTTGCTTGCGCATAGGGGTCTTTAGCAGTGGGAGGAAACCGGAGGACCCAGAGAAAACCCACGAGGTTGGATGTTTATTCATGGATTATGGCAAAATCATTTGTGAGTCTGTGACAGTTGATCATAGAACATGGACCACTCATTATTGGAATGTTCTAAGCTGTGTTTATATCAATCAAGATGCAAACTGATGATCAACCAATTTTATACAAAGTGGTGCAGTAGGCAACAAGTCTGGTGCGTCACAAACAATATCAAAGTCTGAAAATTAAAATAGGTGCAATGGAAGAAAAATTGAGAAAAGTAGAGTGCAGTGATTGGCTAGATTTGTTACTAATTAAGAGTGCTGTCTGAAATCTCATTGGCTGAAATCTAGTCATATTCAAATAGTACAAAGAGTGACATTATTCGACAAAATGCATCCATTTATGGTAATATTATTATCTAGATCATTTCTAAAGACATATTTTAACATCAACATTTCGCATTCTCATTTTCCTGACTAAACATACCTCTCGACCCTGTTTATAAGAATAAAAAAAATTGGAAACAATTATAAAATTTACTCTGTTTTAATTTTAAATTTTTCATGCTCTTTGGTGTTATTTAATCTATGTTAAAAAGTACTCGAAAATTTTCATGCTATTTTCTCTGTCATTTAAGCATGCATTTCTTAATATTAAAATTATTTAAATTATCAAAATTATTCTTCATATTCATGCAATCAAAATTTAAATGGTTTTCACTTATCGTACAAGTGGTTTGAAATTGAATTTGTTTCTTCTTTTAATTAAAAAAAAAATTTCTGGATATTCATGCAATCTTAATATCAAATGGCTTCCTTCTTTATTAGAACTTAATTTTCATACATGCGGTTTAAATTTGAATATTTAAATTTTCTCAATCTGTTCATTATTTTACCAGATATCAATTCTTTTTAAGGACATGCACTGGATCTAATTTGTAAAATCAAAAACATGCGTCTTCGACTGAAATGTAATCTTATGAATAAATAAACATAGTTTAATCGTGAACCTATTTCCTATTTAAATATTATTCTTAATAAAAAATATGGTAATTATTAAAAGTATATATAACTTTTATACAGGTTATTTCAAAAGGAAATCTTATTCAAATTATCTCTACTTAAAATACATGGATGGTCATATGTCTATTTGGTGCTAGAAACAGATTACAGTACCATAAACGTTAAATGTGCATAAGAGAATCTGGGTCCAAGCCGAGTCTAAACCATTTAAGAGCCTAGTAGTAGACCTCAGATTTTTACCCAGGTAGACATTGAGATGAAGAATGGATAATATTTTTTCTTAAATTGCAAATGAAATAATTTGAGGACCTTTCGTCTGCAATAAGGAAAGTTATCTATTCTGTGCTTTCTACAATAAAACCTTCACCGATTTCATCAAGTCAAGTTATCTCTCTCTATATTCTATATATTTGAGTGAGCTCAATTTCACTAATGCAGTTGTCATAAATCATGGGTGACTATCCACTGCTTACTGTGACTAATGCATCATAGTCTATTAAAATATAAAAAAGACAGTTGATGGCTTGGTTTGGTTTTAAGCTTTTGGAACTTATTAGAGCTCTAGGGGCTACACAAGATAACTTGACTTGACAAGATATCCTTCACCAGTACCAAGAATGTACAAGTAAACTGAAAGTAAGATTTATCCATCCACCAAGAAATTACAAGATTTGATAATATCCAATCAAATTTCTTGTAACATACCTGTAAGACTGTAATGTAGGGGTCACCATCTTCAGACAGGTAACTCTTGTTGACCATGTAATGTTTCAACCATTGTAAATGAGGATGAAGATCACTTAAAATTATTTTACAATGCATTTTAACAGTTTCACCAACCACAACTGTTTGATTTTTCGGTCCCTCAATAATTGGTGAGTGAGGTAAGCGTTCTAAAACAAACAAAAAAATAATTAAATTATTTATTGTTTACATATGCAATTCCATAAACAATATACAATTTGCCATAAACGATATACATATATATACAATTCCTTAGAATGAACTAAGAATTACTAAAGAAGAGTGGCACATGAAAATTTCATCATTACTTCATATCGAGATAGTACCATATTTTATGGGTTGATGCACGTTATTTTTTTATAAATAATTACACTAGCTATATCTTAAACACTTACGGATGACCTCAAGAGTAAATGTCCAGTTAATAGAACCATACATGTTCTGGACAACACAAGTGTAGTCGCCATTATCGTCTGGCAGTAACTCCTGTATGGTTAATTTCCAACCTCGAATTTCAAACTGAAAAATATTCAATAATAAATATAGGAACATTATAAAGAGAAAGGAGAGAAAACAGGGGCCATCTTGTATCTAACATATGCAAAGTGTCAATGAAAGTTTGATTGCATCCATAATATCTTTTTTAAAATCCAACAGCTCCATGTCGGTTTTACTTTGCTGGTACGTTCATGTTTCTACAGATCATGCAGCCTTCCCATAATTCAATTCTTCTAAATTTCTAAATAATCATACTCAGTGCATCCATGGGCGAGGTCCACCAACAACATCTAGCTCTGACTTAATGTAGTTCTGTGCAATGTTAAGGAGAGAAATTAAGACCAAATTAACAAACCTTTCCAAGAGAACTTTTTCGGAATAGTTGGCCATCTTTGTACCATGTGATATTTGGTTTTGGATCTCCATTGGCACTACATTTAAATTCATAGTAAGAATTGACGGGCCGTGACACGGACTTCAACTTCCCTCTTCTTGATGTCCATCTTGGAGGACCTGGAAAATACAAAGATGAAAAATATTAGAGTAACATGAAAGATTACAGTTTATCTTTCACTGAAAGTTCCGAGAATTTTTTTAAAACAAAATCTAGACAGAAATCAGACCGATTATTTAATTAAGAAAACAAAACAAAAGTATCAGTGGCAGACAATCTCAAGGCTTGGAATCATTCAGGTTTATTCCAAGAGGGCCATCAAAAGATTTCATTCAGATTTTAGATGGTGCTGCCTTGTTTATTTCGTCTGCAGAGGTTGAAATATGTCGTAAAATTTTCAATTCATCACACCTCTGTAAATACTGAATAGAATTGAACTATGTTTGGAGTAATATATTCATTTCACAATATTGTTGCTGGCAAGGAATTTAAAGTCCATTAAATCACGATCAGTAGCTTTAAGGCAACGTTGTTGATCGACTGTGTCATAACTAGCAAACGTGCAAGTGGGTTGGGCTTAATTTTCTATCCAGGGCATAAAATAAAACAAATTTATTTGTGTTATGACCCAATTTATTTAGTTTCTTACAGATCAGCATTGTTCAACATTGGAATACAACATCTGAAATAAAAGTCGTTCTGCTTTTATAATAAATATTATTTTGGGACAAACCTCTTAAGTGATGTTCCAGCATTGGGTATAAAATTACAACCATTTTTATTAAAGTAGAAAAACAGGGTTTTGAGAAGAAATGGAGGTTCCATCCCTGTGACAGAGGGTAGATTCGTTTTAGCAGTGAGTGTTGAGACCACATCTGGAAGTAATTGGGACTTTGTTCCACAGCTACTGGTCCTGAATACCAGATCTAATAGACCTAATGTTACTAGGTGATTTAGTTCAACTTGAACCAGATTCACCATTTAGATTACTAATCAACATTTCCACCGAAAAAAAACCCGAAAAAAACTGCCACCAGTATTCTACACAACATCAAATAATTAAACCACTAAAAAAATTATCACAAAATCTAGACTCTTTCAAAAATGTCTCCAAAAACATAAATAGAAAATAAAAATAGCACGTTTTTGTAAGTCTTATCAGAAATTTTAAATCTTTTCAAATATGTCTTGAAACACATTAAAAGAAAATCAAATTGTCACCTTTTTTGGAAAATATGGTAAAAGACTTTGTAAAACTCTTACATGCTGAAAACAGCAGGATATCACAATATCTAGGGAAATGACAATTACGTTTTTGAAACTCATGGCTGATCCTTTTGATATTTGTAAATGAAATATGTTTAAAGTAATCATTTTTACGGATTTCTAAAACTTTGTTAATAATCTTTTTTCTTTTATTGAAGGTTTTTTGCACCAAAGGTGCAGTGTGCATTTAATGGTAGTGTTTAACCAGTCGATGTACATATTACTGATGCCGTCTGTTTGCTATTTCTTCCTACATCGACTATATCTGATAATGAGTACATCAGAAATTATAAAGCCTAGATTATTAGACAAGGTTATCAAAGATCAAATTTCTACCATTTTGTATTCCAAACTACCAGCAAGAGAACGGAAGCGATAAATAATTTTATTCGTAAACCACTTGCTATTTCTTCATCTGTTTTTTTATGCGTTGTTTAAGTTTTATGATATGATAAGGAAGCCCACCATACAGTAAACTCATCATTATATATTAAACACTGACTTCACTTCAACCAACAGATGGATAGAATGAGAAAACATTATGAGAAGGTCAATTTATGATATTTCTAATCACAGGGCCATTTGGTAGCAGACAATTTTCCAATCCCAACAATTTCCAAGATAGTATACCACAGGGCACTCGTTTCAGTCAATTTATATGTTGTAACGTTAGTTTTAAAGCAATTAACCTTAAAAGGCAATAATTACAGTAAAAATTTCATCTATATTTAAAAACTGGGCTAATGCTAAAAGTTGTCATATTCCTTGAAGATATATCTGAGCTTAACAAAATATACGTCAAAATTTTTCTCCGAACAAGCTGATATAAATATTTCTGAATCGGCTATCTTTACCAATACACTGCCAAGTGTGAAACTGAGAGAAATCTGATGTAATTATCCCCATACTTGAAAGTTCGGATTACAGCACTGTTCTGTTATAAAAGAGTGGGAAGTGAACACAGGTTGAATTAGTTGGGCCAAAAAAGATCAGGATGTGACATGGAATAGAGTCGCCTGTCCAATCTTGTGGATTTTCTCTGGTTTGCTTCAACAGCTAAAGACCCCTACGTCCAAGCGAATTATTGAAATAAAATTGAACCATGCTAGTTCGGAAATGTCCTAGTTTTGAGTCATGTGGACATTAAACCCCATTTCTTTTTTTTTTCAAGAGATAACAAGTAAAACCTGTCTTCATTAGCTCAGTCGGAGCAGAACAGTAGGACTTTAAACCCGATTTCATTTCAACAAATAAAATGTTCTAGATCTTACAATTGATAGCCAATTCATTCATAAGAAAATTTAACTGAATAGATCAACCTATTTTAACAAAGATGGATATAAAAAAAATCCTGGTGGTTGGTTTAAAACTAGAAGTTTAGTTATTAATATTGTGGAGTAAACATTTCCTGCTGGGTCGACTTTGATTGACATCTGAGTCAGTAGCAGCTCATTATATCTAATTAGTAAATCTTGTTAGCTGTTAATTAACTAAAGATGGACCTCCATCAGTTCTATAATACTACACAGTCTTCGTACAGATAATAGTGCGGAAAAAATTACAGGGGTATTATTAACCTGCGCAATTATCCTTTTCTCGGACGGGTGCTATGTGTAATTGTATGGTAGTTGTATATGCTTCATAACATTAACTCGGGTTTCTGGGTATAAAAACAATGAATTATCCTTGGAAAATGACTACTGTTTAATACATACATTATGGTATTGACCACATATAACCATATAAATAACAATTACCATGTTTGTTTCAAAATATCTTAAGACATTAAACCAAATTCCACTTCATTCCATCTAAATTTAGTGATTTGGAATTTTTCAACTTGCAGCTCTTGTGGTTCAGTGTTGCTCATTAGCCAGGAGGGCCTGGGTTTGATTTCAGGTTTTTACACCCCTGTTTTCCCCTTGTCATTGGTGCAGGACAGAGTCTTTGCAAGGATAAGTAGGTAAGCATTCGGATGGGACAAAAAGCAGAGGTGCAGTGTATACCATTATTGACAGCATGTTAAAGATCCTCTGACAGTTTGAAATTCCACTCATAGCACACTGCATGGCGTATTATCCATTTTCATAACCCACCAGGTGTAGAAAACTAGGGTGTGAAACCTCTCGTTATTTCTTTCTTCATGATTGTAAAAATATATACAATGTATTTCTATCTAGTTCTAGTGCAATACAAACAGAATATTAGGATTTTCATATTTTTGCAGGAGACAACAAATCCCAAACAATGGAGTCAAATTAAAGGAAATCAACTCCAGGCTGTGTTGGTTGACCTCATCATTTTATGAACATTTGATCATTTCAGGAGAGTTAATTATATGAAAGACTGAATAACCCTGGTGATAGCACTAACATTGTGATTGTATCACAGAGAAAGTTATTTTAACATAAATAAGCAGAATATCGCAAGCTATAGGTATACCTCTATACTAGAATACGATACACAGAAAACATGACCTATACATAATTTAACCCTTACAAATATGTAACCTTAATGATATACCATGAACTTCCAACCACTTCATTCATTCATCATAGTTGACAGCCAAAATGAACAAAAAATGGGAGAACTTGCAAAAAAGTTATCTAGAAATTTCAAACCCCTACATGTGGTATGGTATTTGGTTGCTCGATGTTATTATCAAACCTTGTAAAATGCGGGAGACTATTGTCAAAATTATTCTATTAAGACTAAAATCAGATTATGGCCTTCGGTTAAAATTGAGAAGCTTTATTTGAAGTTAATGATGTAATTAAGGCCTTTGTTTTAAAGTTTTCCACGATGGTTCAGTGAGTAAAGGACTGGGTCATTAACCAGGAGGTTCTGGGATTTTTCAGAGTAGTTTCCCCCTGTCAGTTGGGGCAGTAACATGCAAATCAAACAATACTTGGCAGATGGAATTAAACAATAAGTCGGTGGAAAGCTGCTGTCTGGGCAAAATGCCCCCTATAACACTGTTACAGAAAAGTAGGACATTAAATCCCCATTTTAAAGTTTTTATTTGCTTGATAAAGAGGAGAGCATCTTCATTAAATGTTGCACAGTAATAAATTTAGTGCCTACTAGTGAAAAGCAAAACTAGTATGCTCTTGAATTTTTTAATGCTCTTCAGTGCCGCCTCTCACTAGACACAAATTAACTTTTCTCTTCAAAACTCATCTGTCATTGTAGGCTACTTGAAAATTATATATCATTCTGTCCCTTCCATCACAAACAATTTTTACAAATGGCTGCCATTAATTACACCAACAAGATGTTGTCAGGCAACAGTTGCTGTTAGCAATCAGTTTAAATCGACAAACTTTCTTCCTAAGTTTGACAACATTTCACCCAGTTATTTAGCAGGTGAATTCCAAACTCGTTCTTTCCATCATGGTAAAAGTATTTAGTTTCATTCTTTAAAGTTGTTTCCAGAAAACTAACTCTACTGCTCAACTTTTAACACCAACGATTGGAGTAAAATATACGCTACATTGGCACGCCTGATTTTATCTGGGTCAGTGAGAGTGGCGCTGGCTCACAAACTAGGATGTCCCCGATTTGATCCCCATGTCAGCTGAGAAAGTTCCCCAGGATTTTCTAGCTCAATTAACTCTAGTCAGTTGTGCAGGACAGAGTGTCTGGCAAGGAAAATCATTTAGTTCCTTGAATGGTACAAAAATTGAGGTCCTGTGTATACACTGGCATGCACGTGAAAGAACCCTAAGCAATTCGAATAGTAGGTTAAAATGCCACTGTCTGGACAAAATTACCCCATTAGCTGATTGCATGGAATATGTTCATTAGCTCAGTTGATCCAGAAAAGTGAAATGTTACACCATTTAATTTTACAATTTGAGGTTTTAAAAATTGCAATTTCATCCTCGATATTGAAATCAGTTTGACCTTTCTCAATCTTCTATAAGGTAAATCATTAAGTAATTTAAGAAAACGAAAAATATCAATTAATTAATTAACAGAGTAATGTTGAAAATATCATTTACAGTTGAACGTAATGATTTATTTAGATCCAAGTAGGAATTAATGTCATTAATTATCCAAAAGGTAGTACGTTATATAACCAATAATTATGTGAGCTTTCACAAATACATTATTAACATCAATACAAGTAATAATTTGTCCAAACGAGCTTTCTAACCATTCGCATCAAAAATTAATCAAAATTCGGCAAAAAGCCATCAAAAAGAAATTGGCCACCTTTTAGAAATATTGGTTATCTGTTAATACGAAATAAAAAGATAAGCTAATTGAATTCACAAGTTGATTACATTGGGTTAGTTAATCAAACTTCACATCTTGATGAATAACTAATGAAGTAACATCTTCTGGAAACAGAACCCGTTTCAATTTCCTCCATGTTATTCCACATGTCATAATATTACTACACCTCTCATTCCATGTTTACGCGAAGAACTACTTTTTTTTATTAACTTAATTCTTTGAACTGGTGGTCTAATCTTAAAATGTCTGTTAAACAGGAGAAGTTTTTGCTTTAAAAATCCTGTGTTATTTCAAGGTTAATACCGATCCCTGATTTTTTGTTTTTTTCAAGTGGTAAAGTATTTTTCGCTGTTTAAAAATAAAATGCCTTATATTACCAGATAAATATCTAGATTTTGACATTCGATAGGTGTGCCGATGTCTAGTATTTCCAATACTTTATCAACGAACAAATCCATTAAATAATTATTACAATTCATACAGAATATTTGTAAATAGAGAGACATAAATAAAATTTATCATCCACTCGACACAAACTAGGTAATTTTGGGACTAACATATGGTTCAATTTTATTTAAACAGCTTGCACGTAAAGGTCTTTACCAGTGGGAGGAAACCGGAGGACCGAAGAAAATACACGAGGTTGGGCAAATGATCCTACTCCTTGTTATGTACTAGCTTGGGATCAAAACCATGCCACCTGACACAATGACAGATCTTATGATCTTGTACCAATCAATCACCCCCCCCACCCATTGTAAATAGATGTACATGTTATTTAAATTAACAATTATTCATAGGGAGAGAGAGAGAGAGGGAGAAATGGGGTTTAACGTCCACTCGACACAAAGTGGGTCATTTCTGGACTAACATATGGTTTAATTTTATTTCAATAATTCGCTTGCGCGTAGAGGTCTTTAGCAGTGGGAGGAAATCAGAAGACCTGGAGAAAACCCACAAGGTTTGACAGGCAACCCTACTCCTTGTCATGTACAACCGGGGATTCAAAACCACGCCGGTTGACTCAATGACAGGCCTTATGATACAGCGCGCAGCGCATCATAGGAAGAAGATGCATAACTTTTGGAAATAAATTAGGTTTTAATTAAATGTACAAATTTGGGAATCATATTTATTCTATTTCTGTTAAGAATACTAATAAAACATTTAATACTTTCATTGATAACATATTAAAAAATATTAAAATTGATAAAATAGATAAGAATAAGAATACAAATAAAATATTGAATGTTTTAAGGACTTTAATATGCTCCAAATATTGTGAACTTTTACAGTAGATTTATGGCTAAAACTTAACGATATTTTGCTGTCATTTACCTCCCTTGTTGCAACATAAACTTTTTTTTTGGTAAAACATAATCTAATGTTGTTTAACAAATTAGCCATGCATTTGATCTCTATCTTGTTGTTGTTTTTTCAGTAACTCTTTTGTGCTGTTTGATAGTTTTTCAAATTTTTTTTTACCAATTGTCTGTGCATTATATGGAAATCAATTAGGGAGCATCCATTAAGCCCAATCTTATCAGGGAGAATTTATTTGGCTCATTAGGTTAGCAGATGCGTCTGGCAGAAAATGATCTTCGCAGACAACAATTTATAAACTTCTAGTCACTGATACTGTGCCTCTTTTCACTTTTATTTGACCTTAAAAAACAGATCAGCTCACTAATATAGCAGAAGTTGTTTTTCAAACTAACACTGAAGGGAAGGATGAGATTTTAATATCCTCACAGGGTCAGATCCAGTAACTTTATATCATAATTAAACAATTCTAGCTGACTAAAAAGGTTTGTCGTTCCATCTTGTGTAAACTTCTAGAACATGATTTTGGTTAAAAAAGAAGCTCAACTTCTAGAACATACTTTCGGAAATTAACTTCAGACTATAACCAAATATATTTCTAAATAATTCAAGATTAGCTTACCTGTACCCGAATTATCTGTATCATAATCATACATCTCCCAATCGTTCACAGGATCGGTGTAATCTGGAAAAGAACAAATCATCATTTGTCAGGGATGGCACTTGTGAGGCTAACAAAAATGGAAAGTCCTTCGGATGATATGAAAAACCAGGTTCCACCCTCAAATACATTAGAGTGCGCATAAAAAAACTTTGTTTTAATTCAAAGAACAGCAGGATGATATGCTGCTTTCGCGGCAAAATTCTTCCCCACATGAACATAACCATTGAAATGGAAATAAGTTAGTCTCAAAATGTTGAATCAGAAAATCCCATTCAAATTTTTGTTTGTTGAGAGTAACTAATGATAATTTTGGTTTCCATCAACTTACCGAAGAAACTATAATAAAGTTCAAAGATTTAGTACAATGAACATAGACATTTTGCTCTTGATGGTACATTGGATTTGGTTGATCTGCTGTTCTTTTCTTTTTTTTTAAATCCATCAACACTTTATTAAAAAGATAAACTAAGATCTATAATGGTACTTACTGAGAACTGTGAGGGTAAAATTCACCCACAACTCCCCAAATTCATTCTCAGCATGACAAGAATAAATCCCAGAATCCTCTTCTGTCACAGAAGCAATGGAAATAGAATACCGACGGATTTTAAACCTGAAAATAAAAATCTCAAAATGAAAACAAAATCATGGAACAAGCAAATAGAATACTATTTAATATCTCAATAAGAGTTATTTCAAGAGTAGAGAGAGAGAGAGAGAGAGAGAGAGAGAGAAATGGGGTTTAACGTCCACTCGACTAAAACTAGGTCATTTCGAGACAAACATACGGTTTAATTTTATTTCAATAATTTGCTTGCGCGTAGGGGTCTTTAGCAGTGGGAGGAAACCGGAGGACCCGGAGAAAACCCAAGAGGTTGGACAGGCAACCCTACTCCTTGTCAAGTCAACCGGGGATTCAAAACCATGCCAGTTAACTCAATGACAGGCGTCATGATACAGTGCGCACGTGCTAACCATTCGGCCATCCAAAACCCCTATTGCCAGAGTAGCAAAGTCTTTTGTTTTTTTCACACAAGGAATCAAACTACATGTAATGTAATCATCACCAAAAGTCTAATCTATATAAATAAAATCAAAGATATCTGTGCCTGTGTGTATGTTTGCCCATCATGCTTCGTCGTCACGATCCATGAATGTTTTAATCCATGGAATTTGGCCCCAGGCAAATTGGACCTGGGTGAATCGCGCTTCCACACCCACACCCACATGTGGTATCAAAATACTAGCATGACCGTGTGAATGTTTTAGGCCAAGGGCAAATTTGGGGGCCCTGGCAAATTTGGGCCCTCAGTTAAGCCGCATATCAGAGAGAGACTAGTAGTTAAAATAAATTCAAGAGATTTGGAGGTATATCTAATATCAACTGATTACTTGTATGAGGTATATTAGATTTATTTTTCTTCTCATTACCAGGAATAGCGGGCAATAAATCATATTAATATACGCCTCTGTTTACCAAGAGATTTAAAAGTACATTTAACATCTTTTTTGCCATAAGACATTAGTTTTTTTCTCTTTTTTTTTATTACCAGTTGGGGTACAATCAATTATATTAATAATTTCCCACGCTTATATCATATTTCAACTGCCTAGGGATCTTAAAATTGATAGGTCATTGAAAATAGACATCACTATGTAAATATTCAGTAGAAAATCATAATTGTCTCATGCACTAAAAATAGTACCAGGTAAGTGCAGGAGGACTGCATTACACACAAAGAAAACGATAAGACAAACCTGTGGACACAAACTACACAGACATTGCAAGCAATAAACAACAAATTTCAAATAAAAAGACCTACCTTTCTATATGATTCAAGATCAGTTCATTTTCATGGTACCAGCTTAAGAATGGTTTGGGACTTCCTTGAACACGACAACGGAATTTAACATCTTCTCCAATACCTACTTTGATGTCTTCTTCTGGAAAATGTTTCAAGGTTGGTTTACCTGAAAAACACATAAATAATTCATAAATATATCATCAAATTTTAATCAAATAATTATTTTCCTTATGATTGTACAATTTCTGAAACAATGTCAGTGTGCTATGGGAATTTTTGATATAAATTTTTTCAATGGAATATGGTTTAATGTCTTTCAACACCATTATTAGGTCATTTTGAGAATAACATAAAAAAAAAATTGTGAGCAGGAGAATTTTGTCCAGCAGACAGTTGCATTTCCGTCTATGTATTCTAACTGCCTAGGGGTATCTTTTTTCGGTAATGTCAACCAAGACAAGCAGGAATCAAGTTTAGTTCCTTCACAACCCCTACAGGGAATCTTATACTCTAACTATACAAAGAACAAACATGTGGTACCTTCAAATCCTGCAACTGTATAATGAGAAATGGGTTCTTAAATATGCTGCACATGTTGCTTTAAATGCAGTTTAAGTTATGATCTATGTAGGTAAGTAAAGTATATAAATATAGTTGATATATAATATATATAGTTGATATATTGTATTTCTTTTACTGACATGTTAGTAAACTACAGATTTCTACCTCATTTAACATCAGGTAAACTCGAACAACATAAATCTACCTATTCTTTCAACACTGTCGACATGGCTAATAGCCAAACATCAATTGCTATTATTCAAAAATCCTTTAACTTATACGCTCTGCTGGTTAGAATTCATAGTAAATACAGCGTAAATTACGAATGAATTATATCTAGTTTTAAATAAAAATTATATGATCAAAACAAATAATAACATTGGAATTACCTAATCGTAAAGTCTGGCTCTATTAGTCAGAATTGATAGTTAAATTCCACTTCAAAAGAGTAAATTACCCTTGTACAATAAATATTTAAATAAAGGTTATATCTTTTTATCCATATATCATTTAGAACTGGTAGGTTATTTTGACAAGACTTAATCAATAGCAATTAAATGTCTGGATATGGTTGTATGACAAAAAATGTCAGGCACTACTGAAGTTGTATGTGACATTTTGAACTTGGTGTCAACCATGTATTATAAATTCAAGAAATACAGAAAATAGACAAATCTGTGTTTGAAACATGAAAGGTACCCGAGGAATTGTATAGGAGAAAGCCTATGATAGACGCCTTATTTCCAGGCTTGAATTGCAAGATTCATCGTATTCGGTTTTGGTTGGGTGGCTTTCAATAATGGACCCTCTTCCTGTCCCTGTTGCACAAAAAATAAAGATATAATCAAGATCAGAAATATCTTTCTTCAGAATGACTTAGAATATTTCGGAAAATGATGAATTCAGTCAGGCGGTGATTGCTGAATGATTGACAAGCGATGAATTATGATATCTGGACCCCTGCTACCAAAAATTAACTTATCTCTTGCCATAGTTTTAACAACTTTGATAGGTATATCAGCAACTACTTAACAGTATCAAACATCTTATTATAATTTATCAGTTTAAATATATATTGATATATTACTTATATAAAACTTTTTGCTTCTATCATGGTGGTCTGTAAATGGTAAGTAATCTTTATATTATGGCTATGAGATAAATGGCTGATATTTGCAATCAACTTTTTCCTTTAAAGTAACATCTACAGGGCTTGGTTTATGGTAAGGAAATCATTACATTATGAGTAATGGAAAGAAATGAGTAATGGAAATGTAATTAATTACATTTGAGGAGCCTCAAATTTTAGTGTAAATGTAGTAAAATATGCTTATATGACCCAAATCAAATACATTAGAATTAAAACAATAGTTGTAGTTTTGTTTTGGATTCAAGAAGCTGTTGTAATAGTCTCAAAAATAATTCGCTAACTTCTGCCATCTTCTTTGTTGGGAGCTTTTAATTTTTCTTAAAACAAAACGTACACATGTAACAGCTTATAAAGTTTACGTTTTTTAATATGTCGACTCCCACTATTACTTTATGTCAACATATCGTTATTGTTTTTATCAAATGCTACATGTGCACTGAGATAACTTTTATATGTTCACTGACACCTATGTCTTGATCCTTATTTGTTCTTTGATGTCGATCTTGCCATTGAAACAAAATGGGGTTTAACAGCTTACTTTTCTGCAACGACTGGGCTAATGAAGAGATGCATATGCTATATATTGTGCTATGAAGGAAATTTTGCCTGGACAGCGACAATACAACCTATTCTTATTTCAAATTCCATCTGTCAAGAGTTCTTGGCGTGTACTGTTTGGGGGCATAAAATGTTTTCACTTTCTCGAGAATCAAAAATTAAATGAATTTATTGACTTGAAGAAGGAAAACAGCCTTTATAGATGACCTTGCGTCAGGAAAAACATTGTCAATCCAATCCCACCCAAAAAGAATCGACTTCCAAAATGGGTTGCCATTAAAAGATCCTCAAGTATTTCAGGCCGATGTTTGACTGGTAGAAATATTTTCACTGAACTTGCCGAAATCTTGGCAGGCAAAATAATGACATATTTTATCCAGGTTCATCCAGAAGCAACACGACATGGGACAGAATTAAACAAATACAAACAAATAAAACATTGTTTAACAAGACTTCATGGCCCACATTCCTTCGCTCACCGGTTAAAAATATCTGTCACATGATCAAATATTAGCGTCCAACTATCCAAATCACGACTACCCAAATATAAGTATCGGAAAACCCTTGTCAGTTATCAAATTGGTCCTTAAAATTAAGTTTGATATGTGTTTTTGTTTTGATATGGTGATTGTTTTAGATAAAGTAAATCAATAGATAAATAAGACTTAAATTCTTTACTGAAACCAGCCATTATTAGCTTTTAATTGATTCTGGTCTCAGAACTTTCGTTAACATAAAATACTTGTTCAAAATTACTTGTATGTAATAAAACTTGTACTAAAACTTCATGTGAAAAGTAAACTTTTGAATGGAACTTTATATGAAAGTAAAACTTCTTAACAGAACTTTCTATGAAAATAACACTTCACTTTATGTGAAAATATAACATAACTATATACGTGCAAATAAACCTTCTTAGAGGAACTTTATGCAAAACTAAACTTAATGGAAGCTGTATGTGAAAATTGCATGTCTTAAAAGAACTTTATGTAAAACTATAACTTTATGGAACTTTATATGAAAATTATGTTTCTAAATGAAACCTTATATGAAAATTACGTGTCTGAATGGAACTTTATGTGAAAATTGCATGTCTCTGTGTGTCAACAAATTTTCCATCCTTAAAAGAAAGTAATTTTTTCCCCCCATGTACTTCCACCAACTGATTAATACCTTCAAAATGTCTACAACATGGCTACAAAGGATGATCAGAATTTTTAAAGGATGTCCACTCAAAATTGTCTGGATTCCATCTGACCAAATTACATATTTTGTCACTTGCTGACATTTATTTTCTATTGACACTTGGGTCAAACTTTAATGGAGGTATTAGCCATGATGCTTTCAAAGCCAGTTTAATACCTGAGCAAATATTATACCCTAGAATTAATTAACCACGTTAGAATTGTCAAATTTGTCAACTGAATAAATATACTTTATACTGAGAAAGAGGAAATGCTCATTCTTATGGAACCTCTATAAATCTTTGACAAATAGTAAAAAGACTTTTATTAAGTTAGTTAATGACAAGCTTATTTGTATGTTGATTCAATATAAATTACAGTCCCAATATCCCAGAATAAATGCTAAATATAGGACCATATTATATCCCAGAATAGAAGTAAATATAGAGTTTAACACCATATTATATCCAAGTTAAATATAGAATATAGGACCATATATCCCAGAATAAAAGTTAAATATTGAGTTTAACATCATATCATATCCAAGTTAATAATAGAATATAGGACCATATATCCCAGAATAAAAGTTAAATATAGAGTTTAACACCATAATCCAAGTTAAATATAGGGTTTAAGATCATACAAAAGAATTTTAGTCAACATTAGTTTAAATTGATAATTTTAGCTCAAGTTATGGTTTACATTGGTTTCTACTAATTTCACACCACCATCTGTATGTGTAATGATAATTCTGCTGCACTGTTCATAAAAGCCAGCCAACAGTCTTTTCATTGCAATATCAGATTTTTTAAATATTCAGATGAGCTTATTTAATTAATAACAGACTTTACATTAAAACAGTACATTTTTTTACTATTGATAAATAAGTATATGAGAAATTTGGCCTGTTCTTGACAGATATTAGCAAACCCTTCTCTTGATTATATACAATCAAGTTAATAAGCTTTATGGATTGAAAGGCAACCACATGTTCCATATTGTGTGTTATAGCTCTGAAGATTACTATCTTTTGATTTCGTTTTTTACAATAAAAAAATATAAACGAAACTTCAATAAAAATCAAATGTTACGATACGATCCCACCATATATCCTTTTAATTCCAGAAATTATAGGAAGATACATCAAAGTTAACTTAATTTTGCTTCTACAGCATGTTACTAGGATTAACGACCCTGGAAAATATTCCTTAATTTTATAGATGAATTTACTTATAAGTGCAGGTCTTGAGGCAAATGGTCAACAGCTGTTCGAGGAAATGGTTTATCAAGCACCTTCAAGTCTTGGAATTGAGAAAGAAACTTTTGAAGTTGTTACTTCAAAAAGACAAACTATCATCAACGGAGGGCTGCTTCGTGATGGTTGCCGTGGCACTACAGCTACATTGTAGCAAGATGTTCACACTTTAGGGACTATTTTTTTGTTTTGTTAGCCTGTCAAAACAACCACGTATCCCTCCGATGATGTAAATAGAGCCAAGATGGTGGAAGAACAGGGTCTCGCGAGATGAAATAAATCAACCTAAATGATTGACAGGCTGTTGTGAGATGTGATTGAAGTCCCCATCTGTGACGTCATCAATTCTTAAGAATTATTTTGATCTTTGTTCAGATATAAGTGCTAAGTCACCTTGGTTTCCATTCGTCCTATGGTTAACCTCCCAGAAAGTATCTTAATCTTAGTTCCATTCAATT